AGAGTAGGAATTTATGCTCAATCTAAACTCTACAAAAATTACAGTTCTACAACATCTTTGTTTTTAGCATTAACGCTAACTTCTATGTAATATTATTTTTTTTTGCTTTTTTCTTTTTTTTATGTTGTCTAATTTTTTCTATTATATAGGTATTTTAAACTTTCTTTTTTTTAAATTCTGTACAACTATTAGGATTTTAAATGGGGAGAGTTAGAAGCATTTACAAACCCTTTTTTGTTTTCCAGTTTAATATCAACCATCTTTCCTTTCTCTTCTCTATGCCTTTTTCTGTATTTATTTATGTATTTATTTATTTACCTTTTTTGCTTTTCATAGATATCCATCTTACCTGCCTTTAACAGCGCAATCCTTACGTATTATACAGAAAACCATATGAAAGCTTCATAGACTCTAATTAATGTATAACCAAATAACCTCCCAAAGTATCAAAGAACTATTATCTTGCCGTTTTAAAAGCATTTAAGCATTTTTTTTTAATTTTTATATATTTCTTATAATCGCTCTCAAAAACTGTTTTAGGAACAGCTCAGAGAAAAGGAAAGAACTTCCATATTTTACATACAGCTACAAGTCTGCGGTAAAAAGTTTTGTCCTTTGGTCCCTATATAGCTAAGGAATGACAGATAAAGATGCTCAGTGACTGCTACCATGGGTCACACATGGTAACTGCATCCTTGGTGGCAAACAGGCACTCCTTTGTCAGCATCCAGGTTTGCATCTCCTGTTTGAAGAAAAGCCGCTGTGGTGATATCAGTGTCTCTTCAGAAATCCTGGTTGATCTGGTTCCTGTTCTGGATTTTACTTATGTGTTTGTTTGTTTGTTTCAAGCGCATGTTCCTTCGAAGTCAGCAGATGTGATACTTTTCTTGAAGAAATGTTACAGTCTAAACAATCAAAGAGAGAATAAGTCTGAAGTCTTCAGCTTGATTGATATTTGCTGATATGTCAAAGGTGTAATCCAAGAGTTCCCATTTTTTTAAAATATATATATACTTTTTTTTTCCCTAAATGTGGCCCATTCAGCTGCTGCCCTAAAAAATGAAGATCATTGCAAATTAAATAAAAAAGAGGAGGGGGAAATAGGGAAGGAGAGGTAACTTGGCGGGGGGGAAGACCTAAAAATTGCAACAAAATTC